TTCTTGCAGTACGTTACTGTTTTTTAGTCAAAAAGTTTTTCAGAAAAATATGGTCCAGATGATCGTCGGAAAGAGTTTTATTATGAGTATTATTATGGTCATTGCTATCAGCATCTATATTATGAATATTAATATGGTCAAAATTTTCAAGTTGTTCAACCAATTCAGTAGTTGAACTGGGGACCATAGTTGGCAATTTACTTTTCTTCCTTTGATCACGATCTTCTTTGCACACTTTACAAGTTTTGTGGTGACCACCTCCCCAAATGAATTGGTCTTCAGAACGGTCTTTACCACACATAGTACAAGTCATCATGTAAATAGCTTGTGGATAAGTTCTACGTTAATGGGTTCTGGATGCTTACTATTCAGGTATTTTTTAATATTTGTAATATTTTCGTTTTCCATCATGGATTGCACTTGATATTTATTAGAAAGAGATAATTATTAAAGTGATGTGTTCAGACTTACGCGATTTAGGGATTTTTCATTATTTAAACAATAAGAATTCCAAAATTGCGCAAGCCTGGACACTCTAACCGAGATGACGATAATCATATGGACAATTGTATGCAACGTTAAAATTTTTAAAACGAATATATATTTAAGCTTTTGTTTCTATTAATAAACGAGCGATGGGCCTTTGTTTTTATTTTTTTTACTCAACACAATAATTTAAATATACAATAACAGTTAGTTCAAACTAATTAACATCAAAAAAATCTTGCACAACAATTGCAAAGTTATAATAAATTTATGCAAATGAATAAACGGCTTGATTTTGATCAGCCTAATTTTAGTTGAACAAAAGCATTGGATATTAACCGTTTCACGTATAGCCATCCAACACTTTAAAATCAACGATTACCAGAATAGTAAGTCGAATTCCAATCTAACTTAAATCGCGTAGCTTAAGGCATAACAACTGCAAATTATGATCGTGATACTCAATTATGTGATGCATGGCTTTAAGGTTTCTGTCGAAGCCTTTTACAAACTTATTTATCGGTCTAAACTTGAGTAATCTTAAAGATTTTGGATTGGTAAAACAATAAAAAATTTCTGAAATTGCGCAAGTCTAGAAAATTATTTCAAGCGATATGGTACATTTAAATAAAATGGCTACACGATTGAGAAAATTTAAATCACCTGTACCAAATAATTAGAACGATCATTTTATTCAATTCATACAAGTACAAAAGTCTTTGAGTATAGAAGAAGATTATACTACACATAATAAAAAGCTTGTTACAATCAAGCAATTCATTGAATCTTTTACTGTGCTTACAGTACAAAAGTTGTATAGTAGTTGTATACCGAAAATTATCGAGAAATTAAAATTAATTAAGTTTTTTATTAATAAAAAACAGCAAAACTTGTAAAAAAAAAAAAAAAAAAGCCTAATGAGCGAACTATATAAGTGCCCAGTAAATTAAAATTTATCGTTCACTAAAGTTGTGTAAAGCCTCTAAAAAGGTCGAAGTTGCTTTTTTATAGAGTTTCAAAAAAAAAAGATAATGAGAAAATAAAATAATTAAAATAATTAAAAATAAATTAAAAAATATGTGCCGAGACCCTAGCGTCACTTAAAAAATTTTGCAGTTAACTCAGGGTTAGAGTTTGCGATTAAGTTAGGTTAGAAAGTGCTTTTTAATACCAAAATTTCGCAAGGAAAACTTTTCGTTAGTGCGCAGAAAGCAGTTTCATAGGTAAGACTGTAATGACGATTTTTTTTTGCATTCCACCGTATCTTGGAATGTGATTGGCTGGCTGTTGCAACTGCGATTCATGTGACAGTAAATTTGATGGCCGCCCTGGTCGATTCCAAACCCGTATGTATATAAAAAATAATTTAAGGAGTAATTAACAATAGCGCTACAAATTAATTTTAATTTTAATTTGTATTGTTATTGTTATTTACTCCTTAAATTATTTTTTTATATGCAGTACATACGTAATAAAAAATTTACATTTGGATACGTTTTACAAACCCATGAAAACTCAATTCCGAAAATCCGCCGATATGATTGGTGAAAAAGTTCTATAATAGAGTTTGTTTTTTTTTTACAGCAATACAAGACATAATTATAATACAAACTAACTCAACCCTGTAATATGTCACCGTAATAAGTTTTGTAACAGAATTTTAGTGATGATTTCAATGCAAACTAATTAAAACATGCACTATGATCACCAGATGGTGATAAGTTCAGTGACAGAATTCTTAATTTTTATTATCAAAATATATATATATTTATATTCTGGTTCGTCCTAACAATACGGTATAAAGTTCATGTTACGATATATTACTGGTTAAATTGAGGAAAAATCATCCGAATATTTATTAGATATTGAATGAAGCTAATTTATATTAATTCTTTGACAGATTAAATATAAACGTATGGGTTTAATATTCATTTTTATCTTGGATATTCTTTAATTTCTTTAAATACTGCATATTATCTTAATTATTTCAATTATCTTAATGTTGCTAGTACAAATTACAGTTAGATGCAACCCCTACCAGACTTCCATAAATGCAATTTTTATTCTCTAAATACAAGTTGTCAAAAGTCTGGTCCCTTTGAGATGTATTTAGGAAGGTTTAATTGTATATTATAAATATCATTAAAGGAATTATTTCAATTGCTTTTATCCGATTTTAAAATTTAATAGAACTTTCCAGATTATAATAGTTTCGTAAATTACTGTACGATGGTCGCTTTTCCAAAACTTTTTTCAAAGGATCAGCATAAAATTGGGTCGTTCTTTAGTAAGTATTTGCCTCAATCCTTCAGAAATTCCTATAGCCGTGACTTTCCCTTCTTAACAGATTATATTGTGCAATAGAATTGATACCTTCAACAGATTTTAAATACAACTTGAATGCTTTTTCTTCATCCTTGGCTGTACCTACGCCACTTTTGTAGCAGTTTCCAAGATTTGATTGCCCATTCAAATTGCCACCTTCAGCGGATTTCAAATACCACTCAAACGCCCTTTTTATGTCCTTAGTTGTACCTATACCATCTAAGTAACAGTTTCCAAGATATAGTTGTCCATTCGAATTGCCACCTTTAGCTGATTTCAAATAACACTTAAATGCATTCTTTCTACTTGTGTAAGTGCCTATGCCATATTGGTAACAGAACCCAAAGCTGCACAGCCCATTAGAATTTCCACTTCCAGCGGATTTTAAATACCATTTAAATGCAATGTATTCATCTTTAGCAGTGCCTATGCCATTTTGGTAGCAGAATCCAACTTCATATTGTCCCTGACTATTGCCACCTTTGGCAGATTTCAAATACCACTCAAATGCTTTTTTTTCATCCTTTTCTGTGCCTATGCCATTTTGATAACAGTTTCCAAGATTAGATTGTCCATTCGCATTACCTCTCTCTGCGGATCTTAAATACCACACAAATGCCTCTTTTTCATCCTTGGTTATGCATATACCATTTTCATAGCAGAATCCAAGACCACACTGCCCACCTGGACTTCCACCTTCAACAGATTTTAAATACCACTCAAATGCCTTTTTTTCGTTCTTATATGTGCCTATGCCATTTTTATAGCAATTTCCAAGATTAAATTGTCCATTCGCATTGCCTCTCTCTGCGGATCTCAAATACCACTTAAATGCCTTTTTTCTATCCTTGGCTGTGCCTATACCATTTTCGTAGCAGAATCCAAGACCACACTGCCCACCCAAATTTCCACCTTCAGCAGATTTCAAATACCATTCAAATGCATTTTTTTCATTTTTAATAGTGCCTATACCATTTATATAGCATAATCCAAGATTACATTGACCACCGCAATTGCCACCTTTGGCGGATTTCAAATACCATTCAAATGCCTTTCTTTCATTCTTAGCTGTACCTATGCCATTTATATAACAATTTCCAAGATTAACTTGTCCATTTGAATTGCCTTTCTCAGCAGATCTCATATACCACTCAAATGCTTTTTTTTCATCCTTGGGTACGCCTATGCCATTTTCGAAGCAAAATCCAAGACTACACTGTCCCTTGGAACTACCACCTTCAGCAGAATTTAAACACCACTCAAATACACTTTTTTCATCCTTAGTATTACTTTCGCCATAATTATAACACAATTCAAGGTTATATTGTTCATCAGAATTGCCGTCTTTACCAGATTTTAAGTTTATTTTAAATCTAGTCTGTAGAAACATTTGAACAAAAATAATGTTCTGTATACTTCCAAATCACATTTAATAATAATTCTTAGTCGCACAACATCGCTATAAATTTTTACTAATATAGTTAACAACTATATTGTGGTCGCATATTTGAAATGTGTGCCAGTTATGCAAGTTGCCAATCACAGACCATCGATTAACCTAACACCCTGTAAAAAAAAATTTGATTGGTTTTTGTTTAATTGTTGTCCAGAATGGGCACTATTGATATTAATATAGAACAAAATCAGTATATTTTTTTAAGAAACTTAATACAAATAACCAGTGGTGATCATCACCACCCCTAGATATATTTAGGGTTAGGGCGCAGTTATAAGAGTTTTTTTCATATATAACATATAATGTATATTAGATATAAGATCCCGATTTCAGTTCTCATGAGGTTTTCAGGGGTCCTGAACATTTTTACTTAAAGTACCCGATCCCGTTTACTTAGTTCGTTTTTGAGATATAAGCATCCTGGTGATGATCACCACTGGTTATAGTTAGTAAGATTCTTATTTAAATTAAAACATATGTGGGGTCTTTGCCTTGAAAATCACCTTCCGACATTTCTGATCGGGCTAATTCGGACAAAAACAAAGCTGTGTATTAGTTCATGTTTATATGTAAACCCCTTTTTGTCTTCATGGTTCAATAGTTTATAGAATAAAGTTTCGAATCAATAAAGCAAAAAGAGATTCAAATATAAACGTGAACTAATATACCGATTTGTTTTTGTCCGAATTAACCCGATCAGAAATGTCAGAGGGTGGTTTTCAAGGCAAAGACCCCATGTATTTTATTTTATCCTGTTTTTTTCATACCTATAGTAGGCTCATTTTGAATAATACTGACAACAATTGAATAACACCCAAATAACCCTTTTTATAAGGCACTTATCGTGATCCTTAATAACAGTATTGCATATTTTGGGGGAATTTATAAATAAGGGCCCAATATTCAAAAACAGGGCCCAATTTAAAAATTATTACGTTAGGGGCCCAAAAACAAATTTATTACAAATAAAGGCCCATCCGGTCTCCGAGCTATTAAACGAGGCCAAGCTACAACTGCAGGTCACGCGACTTGCGCCTTTTCGTTCTATAGAGATTTATTGGTCGCAGATAACGACCACGTGACTTCTACACCGATATTGACCAATCAAGTCCCAACACTTAAAACCCGAAATTAGTTAACTTGAACTAACTTCTGGTCCAAGTGAACCCGAACTTGGGCACCTTAAACCAAAAAATTCTGGTTTGGATTCTTTAAGTGTTGTGACTTGATTGGTCAAAATCGTTGTACAAGTCACGTGATCTGTTTTTGCGACCAATAAATCTTGAGATAAACCGAAAAATCACAATCCACGTGATTTGCACTTGTAGGTTTCTCGTTTAATAGCTCGGAGACTGTATAGGCCTTTATCTGTAATAATTTTCGTTTTTTTGGGCCCTTATACGTAATAATTTTTAATTTGGGCCCTTATCCATAATTATTTTGAATATTGGGCCTCTATTTATAAATTCCCCTATATTTTTTCTGTAGTTATCTAAGTTAGGGAGAGTGGCACAGAGGTCACAAGCATGCATCATGACATACCGATGGTGACATGCCACGGGCGTGCCCAGTACTCAACCAGTCAATAGGGCATGCCACTTATAAGTCATTTCGGAATATTCCGAGTATACATAAATTACGAGAAAGGTCAAGAGATGTTCCGAAATGTTCCGAAAGGAGGTCTATAGTGATAACTGACCAATCTAAATTGAGTATACGCGCGAATTTTAGCAAATGGTATGCCAGGTGGCATCCCAGATTTTTTTTTTTTGCCGGTCCATTTTTCCTACTTGAGTGCATCTATTTGTGCAACAGATAATGATTTACGTTCGACCATTCAAAATTAATCACGGGCCAGCAAACATGTAAACAATTTTTGAACGAAGTTTTCTTTACAGCCATCTGACAAAATTTAAAAAAATCTTCATCAATTTAGACAGATAGTTATCGGGAAAACTTCGCCCAAAGTTTAGGAAAACTGCCCAATCTATAAAAAGTGCTTCTGAATTTTTTTTTAAATCTTTGCGTGAAGTTCTCTCGATAACTATAACTTTTTAACCAAATTGGATGAAATTTTTTATTTTAATTCTATATTTTGTAGAATTAAAATAAAAAAAAATTTCATTGAATTTGGTCAGGTAGTTGTCGAGAGAACTTCACTCAAAGTTTTAAAAAAATTCAAAAGCACAATTTACTGAGACGTGACAGATTTTTTCTAGATTTTGAGCGAAGTTTTCTCGACAGCCGCTTGTCGAAATTGGATGAAATTTTTTTTTTAATTCTATTAATGTATAGTTAAATAAAAAAAATTCATTAAATTTTGTCGAAAAAAACTTCGATCAAATTTTTAAAAGATTACATGTATCTGGACCCATTATTGATTTGATTGCTTGGATCATTAGGTAATATGTTGCACAAATAGATGCATTCGTAACTATACAATTTCTGAATTTTTTTTTATTTTAATTCTATGTATCTGTAGAAATAAAATAAAAGTTTGCATCGTTTTTGGATAAGCAGTTATCAATACCTCATTTAAATTTCACAAAAAAAATTTTTAGACGATTATCAAAACAGGCTGCGGTTAAGTTTTTTTCTCAATATTTGAGCTTATCTATATTGATGAAAATTATTTTATATTAATTTATGGATTCATAGAATTAAAATAAAAAATTTTGGATAGTAGTTATTAAAATATCCTCGTTCAAAGTTCAAAAAAAAAATGATAATGATCAAAACAGCCGCGGCAAAGTTTTTCCAAAATTTTGAGCAAGGATATCTCGATATTACCTATCCAAATCGGTAAGATTTTTTTAGTTTAATTCTATAATTAAAATTTTTGTCGATTTTGTATAGGTAGTTATCGAGATATCCTCATCATTATACAAAAATGGATATTGTTGCACTTAAATTATTTTATAAAAGAGGTAAATAATTGATAGCTTAAACAAAATATTAATTCAGTTATTAATCACAATGTTACGGAATATCGAAAGATGAAGTCGCATGAGATTAATATTTTAGTTATGCAATATGCTGAAATAGGATCTTTACGTCAAAACCTTCATAAATTTCGCAAATGATATGGGAGAAAAAATTATTTATTATCTTATTGCGCTTAAAATTAAAATAATCCATGAGTATAATCTTATTCATCGTGATTTACATAATGGAAATATATTTCGAAATAATTTAAGTTTTGCTACTGCTGCTAATAAAGCATTAGACACAGAATATAGAGGTGTTTATGGAGAGTATAATATATTGGTTCCTGAACTTTTGCATGGAAACACGTTTACAAAGCATCAGATATTATTGGTATTAATAGCACTATTAGAAACTTATCAAATATATAAAACGTTAATATGGGTTTTCGTAATAAAATATCCTAAGCCGAGTATTGACAGAAACGAAGTTTCCAATAGCGCACAATCAATATAACCGTATGAAGTTAATATAAATAATATAACATACTGTAGTTTTATATAAAAAAATCTTCTATTAGTCATTATATTATTTTCATATTAAATTAATTAAAAATATCTTGAATTTAACATTTATCCAAAATTATGAAAAATATAACAAAGTAATCAAGTTAGCTAGTCATTTAAAAAATCGTCGGAAAGTAATTGTTGATAGGGTTATATAAGCACAATTATAATGTTTGATATATTTAATAAATTCACAAATTATTGCGGTTTGCATAATTTTGTGACCCCTATGGTTAAGTTTTTTGATTAAATGATTGTAATTGCGATCGCGATTGCCAAAGCCGGCCAACTTATCATGAATCTAAGTTTGTGTCAAGCTCAGATTTATGATAAATTGATCGGCTTTGGCAATCGTGATCGCAATCACAATCATTTAATCATAAAAAAAATTAATCATAGGGGTCACAAAATTATGCAAACCGCAATAAATCAATATTATATCGATATAGAAAAAAAAATTGGATATCAAAGTAATAAATACTATTTCGCAAGTAGGGATGTGAAAAGTCCAGTCCGATCTCCGAAAGTTGGGACCTCCCGCAGAAAAAGGAGGGGATGGGCCAAAAAATCGGATGTTTTAATTTTATAATAATTTTATTCTAATCAATCTAAATCTTCCAAATATTGGATTTTTTTTAAAAAAAAATTTTTTGGCCCATCCCCTTTTTTTTCTGTGGGAGGCCCCAGTTGTGCTTTTCGGTATAAAGTTAAACACGCCCCATTACATGATATCACCAATGATATTCAAATGTGCGATACAAGATCGTTTAACATAACAATGAGAATATCAAGACTTAGTCCCTGAGTATAAATTAAAATGTCAGAATAATCGACCCGAAAATTGATTTCGATGAACGTTTTAACATTCCAAAGTAGTAAGGATAACATGCCGGTAGCTATTTATTATCTAAGCATACTTTTTGTCCCATTATATGATTGAGTAAAAACTAGATCTTTTCTTTGATATGATTATTTACGAAATTGAGCATCTATATACCAGTGCTTTTTCTGCTAATCCTACTGATACTTCAACTAGCTTATCCAAACCTCTCCCAATAGCCTCAAAAAGACCCGTTTCTATACATTCTTCAATTTCGTTTATTTTCTTTAATATTTTATCTATATTCTCTTTTAGTTCACAGTATTCCCTTCTTCTCTCATATTCTTTAAAAAACTCTTCAGCATTGAATTTCGTTTGTTCTGATGTCGATCTCTCTAATTTATTTAGTCGTTCTTGCAATTCATCCAGTTTTTTCTGCAAATTTTCGCTTTCTTCTATTAATGAATCATTAATTCTTTGGTCTATCTCGTTCAAACTCTCTGGTCTATAAATACCCTTACAAGTCGCTAAATGATCTATTAATATTTTTCTAGCTCTCTTACGAGCCTCTTTATTAACATTAATTTGGTTTTGGACTCCTTCACCTTTTATATTTACTGACGGAATATTTACATGAATAACTCTCTTATTGCATGATTGGATCATTTCATTAATTATTTCATTTTTCTCTTTAACTAATAATTGGATGTCATTTTCACATTCTTCTCTAGAACCAAAATTTTCGAATTTCGTTCGAATAATCGTAGTATATTTAGTAATGTCTTTATCAATCCTATTGTCAAAAAGAATTCTTCTTAATATGTTATAAGCTTCAATTTCTTGTGGTGTCAATCTTTCCCCGCATACAAATAAAATTTGATTTATCCCTTTTTTGACCTTTTTACATCCTTTAGCTATTTCAACTAGCACTTTTCGTTTGTTCAATGTTGTATCATCAATTCCCACAGTGTCAATGATTTGATATTTTATATCCTTTTTCTCTCCATCTACATCTATCTTTAAAGTAACGATTTTTGCTTGAGCTTTTTTAGTTTGGCTAAGAAAACCACCGCTCTATTTAAAATTTCTTTGAATTTACTTCCTTCTTCGAAGTTTTTCTCTCCATTTACTATTACATTGGCTAAAGATGACTTCCCTTGACCTGTACGGCCAATTAATAATATATTTCTTATTTCTTCTAACATAATTTCTTTAGGTCTTTCCGTCAGTACCGTATTGTATGTAAATTGTAAACCTAGACGGTATTCTATAGCTCCTTATATAGTAATTAATTTAAAAAGCATTATTCTTTTAATGTATACACTCTACCTCCGTTATAACATATTGATCAGACCAAGAAGTACAAATTATTATGGTGAATATTAGTTATAGTATTACAACATAATAACAATCTTGAATTGTCTATAGAATCACTCCATTTTAGTGAGAGATCCGCTTTAATAGGGTCCGCTATAATGAAGGTAGAGTGTATATTAACTATATGTGAAATCGCTAAACTCGAAAAGTAAATTAAAAAAGACTGTTAGTTGATACTACTGAAAAAAAGACTTTCTTAATATTTACATTATAGGAAAATTCAATAGCGATAGTATTGGGATCCCTGATTGTCATTCGAACTGTGACCAAAAGATTATTAATCATTGCCGAGCCGGAATTTTGGAAACCCTCCATAAAAAAAAAACATCAAATTTCTAAAGCAATTTCTATATCAGATATTATAAAGGTACATTAAAAGATTATCATTCTTTATGTACGTACTGATGAAAAGATCCTCTCTTAGTATTTACGATTCGTTCCCACAAAAAATTGTTCACCCCTTGTAATTTTGAGCAATCAAATTTTAATATCAGGTGAAACGTGATAGTCAGAACAAACGTGTTTTGTTTTCTAAGTAAAAAGCTGCGTGTAAAACTAAACCGCGTTATAGTTAGGGCTAGGGTGAGAACAACATATGGTTAGGGTTGAGGCTATTAGTAAAAATTCACGAGGAAAATTTTTAATTAGTCCGCAGAAGGTGGTTTCCTAATTAAAATTTATAACTATTCTCGTTTTTTTTTGTAAAAAAAATGGCTTCGTTTCGATTTTTACGTTACACCTGATCCCGAAATCCGACTGGCCAGGGAATGAACAATTTTTTGTGGGACGTTGTATCTACGCTATAGAAAAATTCAATAGATGATTCGATCAGTGGTAAATATTACTTGTACATTCTTTCTAATCCCAAAAAGTAGCAGCACACGGACATATTACGCAACAATAACAATTAAGCGAATGAGACAATTTTGTAGCATTATTTTTATGAAATCAGCTATCACTAAATTGTTGTATTTATAATCTATATACTGTATATTATAAAATGTCTTATTCTCTAGAGATTAGGGATGTTACGGTCCGTCCCGGTCCGGTCTTGGTCTCAATGACCGGTCCTACCAGAGGACTGCGGACTGGACCGTGGTCCAGGACCGGTCCATAAACCGGTCTATAAATCGATTATTGGCTGGTTTTCAAAATAAGCTATGTGGTTTTAATGATCGCCGCATATAAAAAGACCTCATCATAAATCCTGGGACAATTGAAAAAAAATTGCCAATGCCTAGTGATGCAGTAGATGATTTGTCGTAACTAGTTGCGACATAGGTTTTTAGTTAGTTACGGCTTGAGCCGTAACGTAATTGGAACGATTCTACTGCATCACTACAATGACTGAATCGACAAGTTACCGACCAAAAATCTATGTTACTGAATTAGGCTGACATTGGAAACTTATAGATACAGTCATCGATATATATATATATATATATATATATTAGCCAATAAGGTCATTCCATAGGCTTTGAACTGGTCCAGACCGGTCCTCAATTTAGGACCGAAAACTGGTTGGACTGGTCCAAAAGACCGGTTCGGACCATGTCCTTGTAGGACCGTAACATCCCACTAGAGATAGTACTGCTGAAAAGGCATGTTATAGAAAAAAATCAATACATGAAACTCGGGAATCCCAAAAATCTTGAAGGCAACGCTATAACAAGATGCATTATCCAAATTTATACATACAGTTTCTACCCTTGATTAGTGTTTATATAATCGAATGGCGAAGATATGCAATTTATTTCCCGAAACGGTGGGAATAAGAAGTAATATGAGAGTCGAAAGGCCTTCATATGGCCAGAGGTCTATCAGGCTTATTTCCTTGTAATGCTGCTGGAAATTTGGGTTTCATCACTAAACCCAGTCATGAGATTATAGAGATATGGAATGACCAGATTTAATACGTGTTACAGTATCTGAATTACCTCCAAAGATAGGCAAAAAAATTGCATATATACACATTATTATTACAATATTCGATTTTTTTTCATGTTTTACAGTGAACTTAGATCAATATTACAAATATTTTTCTAGTCACCGATATTTTGTAGTTATTTCACGGTGTCTGAAGTACAGTCTAGGGACCTCAGCATTATGCGAAATGAAGAGGTAAATTATGCGGCTAATGCTTTACGTTCCCGGAATTATGCGAAACGATCGTAAATTATGCGATTTTTTTCGTACCATTAACCATGTGACAAATAGACCCAATTTAGATTGCTCAATTTCTTTCAGAACTTTGCATAATTTACGTTGTTTGATTTTCTACTCGGAATATGTCGGAACGGTATATATAAAAATTCCGAAATTTGCGCTCAAAATTTTTTATAAGAAAAAACATTGCTTAGTTGAAAATCGACCAATCACAGGCACTACCTACTATTATGTGATTTGGGGCCAAATTATGCTTCGCATATGCGATCTAAAAATTGGCTCATTATGCGTGTTGCATCGCATCGCATAAAACTGAGGTCCCAAGTATAGTCCCGTGCCAATAAGTGAATGAAAATAGTACGGGCTGTTACCCGTGCAATAACAGATATTACCGATCCTCGGAAATCAAACTTAAAATTATTGATTACTGGTATCTGCTGTTATTGGCAAATGGCAGGGACACGGACTACCTAATCACCACCCAAAACACACACAACCAGCCCACAATATACCCGATTGGTAGAGGCGGTTTAGATTTGGCGAGGAAAAGGCTAAATCAAGTATATTATGGGTAAAAACGACTCTTTATTGCAAACAGTCACTGTCTTTATTTCAGGGCGAAACAAGCCCATTTTTATATCGAATTTTGTACATGCGGGAGGGAGCAAAATTGAAACAAAATTGAAAGGAAAAAGAGCTTTTTCTAATCTAAAAATCTAAGCTAAGTCCAAGCCCAACATTGTCACCGCCTCATCTACCTTTTTAGGCGATGCTTGGTCATTGTTTGAACCAGGTGGTCACCCCATGGTTCTTCCCATTACGCCACGCCCGGGATCCAATATACCGTAGTCTTGGGGCCATCTCGATAACGTTTTTATCGTGATGCGACCACTATATACTTCAGAGATTCTTGGCAATTTCCCTCCAAAGTCTCATATTATTGGGGCTTTTCTAGGCTTTGTGTTTTGAGGGGCTTTGGGGCAAAGCTGATTCTTCACGATTCCTCCCTTGCCGATTTCGTGGGCTCCGATTCGGGTCTTTTGTCACGTTTTCGGGCCTCGTGGCGTCGAATTCGGCGCAGTCAGTTTCGACAGTTTTGCCGCTAACACTGCGCTCAAAAAAGTGTTTCATCGTGTGGCACGGGTCAATGAAAATATTTGAAAGAATAGCACGGGTCATAATGCAACATTGATATAGGTTAAAAATAATATGTATACACGCAACAAGGACGGAGGTGTCTCATTGCAGTGTATAGAATACATGTTGGCACTCAAATACATGAATCTGTTGCAATGTACTAATAAGAGCGAAGAATCTTGTATAATTTGAAAATTCAAATAAACGATTTCCTTTAAAAAATCAAAGCATATTTTAAAAATTCATTTATGATTTGTGTTAATCAGACCATGGACGTGCAACCCGGTTTTTGACAATACTAATCAAGGTTGTGCATATATACTAAAATCCCGTACCAATATTATAAACTTTTTTAGAGAAAGGGCAACTTCCGGCAAACTTACGGCGTAAGGAATAGTATAAATCATTTATATTTATTGGTTTTCTATTTACTTGTTTTGCAATCTAATTTAATCATTGACGTGATCATGTCGAATCCGAAATACTTTTCGGTCAGTAAAGCGGAAAGTACCCATTTTTGCCACTCAGACATGTCTATGCTAACCAATCAAATCAATAGTCACTAGCTTTAGAGGAAATTTACTATTTCCATCATTGACCATAATTTATCGTCATGTGAAAAACATGGTGGAAATAGTAAATTTCCATGGCGCTCCTTTAACTATCGGCCAATAAGAATAATATCACGTGGCGGACATAATTGTGTGGACTGCAATAGCCAATCACAAGTCACGTGGTGTGCAGTCGGACATTTTTCAACTTTTACATGTACATGTAAGTCCTTGCTACGCTTCGGACAATCAAAAAGTGAAACAAATCTCAGCTCCTATTTCTCAGAATACAATGAAATTGATTGTGTAAATCCAATACAATCCTATACTCATTGTGTAATATGATTAAATTTGATAATAAAAAACAAACGGTTCAGCTCACTTCACCGACGATCCTTCCGTAGACACAACACTTCACCGACATGTTTATTTTATAGACATTTACTTAAAAAATTTGCCGAAGTCTATTCGGCCGAATTCGATAAGTTATTTATCTCGGTGCTATATATATATAAATGCATAATATATATGTATTTGTTACTAAGATTTTTCAAAACATATTCGTTGGAAAATAGTTGAAACAGCTTAGAAGGCTTCAGTTAGAGTAATTGCTAAACATTTGGGTGTTAATAGGTCTTCTGTGGGTCGAGTTCTCAAACAATTGCAAAGGTATGGCTGTGTTGATTAATTACCATCACTTTAAATAAACATTATACATACTTTGAACTTTATTATAATTATTAAGACAGTAAATATTAATAAAATCTTGACCTCTGATTTCAACTTGTGTTGCATTTTTTTACAACCCCTGGTCGTATTTAACCTTTTTTTTTTTATTAGTGCCTACTCGTGTAATATGGAGTGTTACGTATTAAAAAGGCAAATTTTCAATTTTTTTTTTTTTCGAACTTTGTATAGATACAGTATATCTCAATAAACAAGTTTGCTATACTATAAGGTACCAAAGATAATTATATAATAAAAAGATTCACAAAATGAACTTGAAGTAAAAAATATTGACTTTATTTATAGATCATTTAAATTCAAAGCTGTCTATATGTTTATTAAGAAAGTCCAACTTATGTTCCAAACTTTTTTAGTAAAGATCTATATTTGGCAAGAACAGTTTCTGGCATTAAATTTGTATCATATATATTGGATAGGACAAAAAAAATTTTAATAAAGTGTTGAAAGAGTTGACGTTGCGAATGTAATATAATATTAATCGAACAATGTGCTGTAATAGTAACTCAATAATTTTTTTATATACTGCTCACGCACTAATCATACCGAAATCAATAACTTATCGAATTCGGCCGAATAGACTTCGGTAAATTTTTTTAGGGTGTCCCAGAATTTATGAAAACAGCTATAATTCACCGAAAGCCTACTGTATTTCGTCGACAGTACAACTAACCGACAATTAATTCA